ATGAATGAATGAAGTCATAAAGAAAAAAACAAGAAAGAAAAAGAAAGAATAAAGAGAAAAAAGAAAACGAAAGAATGAAAAATTAATTGAAAGAAAAACAAAAAAGAAAGAAAATGAAAGAATGAAGAGAGAAAAAAGAATAAAAAAGAAAGAAAGAAAGAAAGAAAACGAATGAAGAAAAAGAAAGCGAAAGAATGATTAAAGAAAGAAAAAATAATAAAAGGAAAAGAAAGAAAATGAAAGAATGAAAAGAGAAAAAATAAGAAAGAAAAAAGAAAGAGAAAGAAAAAATGAAGAAAAAAGAATACGAAAAAATGATGAAAGAAAGAAAAAAAATAATGAAAGAAAAAGAAAGAAAAGAAAGAAGAAAGAATGAATAAATTAAGGGGGGGGGCAAGAAAGAACAAAAAAAGAAGACAAGATAAAGAGAAACAAAAGTACGAAAAAAAATTTTTAAAAATCTTTCAATTCCAAAATGTAAAATAAATTATAAACCTCATTAATAAATATTATAAAACAACAACAATAATTCATTTTTTAATTCTTCATTCGGATCTACGTTATGATAAAATCATAAGAATTGTTTCTGCTAAAAAAAAAAAACTACATTTAAATAGCTATCATGTCAAATTATATATTTGGTACGACTTTTAGGGCAACAGTCAAGAGCTTGTAGCTTGAAATGCCGACTTGACGTGAATAGAAATTTATAAAGCAGTTACGTACTGTTCAGGTCAATAATTTTCGAAAACACGTTCTTCAGTGTAAACTGCAAAGACGCCCGTTTGGCTGAGATGTAGTTGATTTCCGAAGTAAATTCCACAATCTCTTTACTAGGAATTGTAATCTTGAAAGACGGCGTGTACTTGAAACCAGACTTCGTCACCATTCTGCCAAAACGACCAGCAATAAGATATTCTTTCCTTCCGATTCTCAGTTGACTGTAGAGACCGACATTTTCAGGAAGATTTTCACCTGACACTAAACACAAGAACAACATAAAACCAGTTTTAGTTCAAGACAATCTCTGGGACAAAGAGAGCGATCTACAAAGCTTAGCTTATTCTGGCAAAGAGATATAACAGAAGGGTATTGAATGAGGAGCAAATTCGCTTATCTTGCTATCCGTCGCTGGGACGCCAAATAAAGACGACACTATGTGCATACATATAAGGCTTCTCTTTTATGACAATCCTATAAAAACAAATCCGGATTATATGTAAAGCTGAGGCACATATGATGGGCTAATAATACCCAGATTACTCCTTGGAGTGATTTGTAACACATTTATTTATTATCTTTCAGTTGCGTCTCTGTTTTTGGGCAGAGTGCGCTCGGGGCGGCTCCGTCAAAGGACAGAGTCGCAACTGAGGAATATTATACTTAGAGGTGCCCAGCCCTGGGGAATAGCTGCCCGAGGCCGCGCCTTCTCATTGCACTAGAGAGAAGGTTCGGTGCACGCACCGAGGTCAGCGCAACCGACGGTTGCGGAGTCTCGGGGAATTTTTGTTCCTTACCCGGGTGTACGCGCTCGGGCTCCCCACATTAAATCGACCATGTGTCACAACCTGACCTCTGTGGGGAGGTTGAATAAACACAAATAATACCCAGATGCTAAACTAGAAGTACAACTATTTGCCCGTAGTCTACCATCATAGTGCTCTAAGTATAAGTGGGAGTACTGCGATCTTGTATACCATCAAGTATTATAGCTAACCCTTCACTTTCCAGGAGGCGTCATTTCTTCTGGGTTTAAGACAGCCAAAATTCCGATTGATCTACGAGGAGATGCAGCGAAAGTAATGCCTTCTATATAAATATGTTTATCTACGACTTCAGTATGGCAGCAGAGGCTGTTGTGTCTTATTGCTATAAACCCAGAATTTTCTTTCATACAAATAGCAGACTGGCAAAATAGTTCTGTCATGAAAGTGCGAACATGGCAGAGATGTGTCCTGAAATTCCTCCAGACAAAGAAAATGCGGGCACTGACATTCGTCGACGCATGCTGAACTTTTCCGGAAACCAAACAAAGGATATGAACATTGGTTTTGGGTAATGCCTTTCAGCAGTGTTAACAACAATGTGTGATAAGTCACGCTCCGAAAGTTTCTGTACAGCTGTCACTTCATAGAATTAAATGATATTTTAAAAAGCAGAGTTCAAAATTTAGAAATCTAATATAAAGTAAAGAAAACGAAATTGGCCATTTTGTAATTCTTTTCCCCTCTTACCTTTCAAATTGATAGTATCGTCTGTAAAACCTTTGGCGTTCATGTCGACCAAAAAACTTTTCCCGGGATGGATGTCAATGATTCCTTTATACTTCAGGTTCTTCTGAGGAATTATAATCTCCAGTTGAGGTGCGTATGTCAGTGAATCTTTCAGATTTTTGACGCCAAGTTGAGCAGAAAAAGCCAAGTTGGTGCGGCCACCGACAGACAACTTACCACTGAATTTCTTCATGTCATGAGTATTAAGAAAAGCACCTGTTACAAAAATAGAACACGATTAGCTTGGTAAAAAGTATTCATCAATATCAGCAAATAAAGTATGGGATACATTGAGGTAAAAAGGGCCAATAGTCAGGCAATCGAAATTCAGATATTAGGCTCTTCCAAATTGATTCTGAAGTAAAGAAATGAATCAAGAAAATATTTTTCTCTTTCTCGCGCTTTATCATCTTCGGTTCTCACTCGCAAGTAATAGCTGTAGAGGGCTGCCTCTAAGCACTGAAGATCCGTTCTACGGCACTACCTCATTCATTATTATCTATATTTAGTACGAAAATGTGGTAAATCTCTTTTGGGTATTAATCTATTAAAAAAGTTTTTAGCTATTTCTGATCTCGTCGGTTAAAAATATTCTGAAAACTTTTGAGAAATTTCATTCTCAATTATAAAACAATGTGTGAAGATATAAATGTTGTATCTTAGAAAATAAACGAAATTCGAAACTCTGAGGCGATGAGTTGTTTTTATTGCATGAATTCAACTTAGTATTGATGTTGGAAAATTTTATATCAAATAGGAAACAATTATAAAATTTCTTTACTTCCCTCTTGGTTAGCCATTTCATTGAGTTTGGAGAACGTGTGAGAAAAAAAAAGCAAAAAAAAAAAAAAACAAACGAAAAACAACAAAGATAATGATATGTTATTTCAAAAAATTCAATAATCATATCCTCATTTTTTGATGTTTGAATCCGTATAATTTAGCCGATGCATTCTTCAGCCTTCTTCAATTAAGCACCACATAAGGGAAGCTCCGAAAGAATTATATTATATATTCTGTGATAAATATCCAGAAACAATTGATCATCTTGTATCAGGTTGCGCGGTATTGGCACACACTGAATATAAAACCTGGTATGACAGAGTGGTCCAATATCTGCACTGGAAAATCTGCAACTTCTACGGGAAGGAAACTGAAAAAAACTGGTATGAACACCACCCAGACCCGGTTAGGGAGATAGGACTGGTAACAGTTTTATAGCTCTTTACAATACACCCTAACAAAACAATCAAAGATAATCACCCAGTCATCGTGATTAGAAACCGCTAAAATAAAATGTGCAACTTTATTGATATGGCGGTCCCTGCAGATTGTAAATGTATCTTTAAAGATCTTCAAAAAATTATCAAAATACAAGGATCTTGGAATAGAAATTTAAAATATATGCTACATGAGCACATTAACAATTCCAGTTGTAGTTGGAGCCCCCCGGATGGATAGAATTCCTGCTAGCCTATGTCTAAAAAGAAATACAAAAAAAACTGTAGTCCACACCAAGAAAGGGCTTATCTCTGTAAAATATGCGTGATCGTAAGATTTTTTGTTTTTTTCCTCAAAAAATGCTCAGTGGAAAATGTTATGATGCCATTTCTGATCTTAGGTCTCTGGTTGGGGCCCGGATAAATGAGTACACACTCGAAATCAAAGGTCTTAATAATAATAATAATAATAATAATAATAATAATAATAATAATAATAGATAAAAGAGAAGAGACTTACCATCGAACTGAATGTTTTTCCACGGAGCGATGAAACTTATTTCTATTTCCTTTTTGTTCTTTATCGCAGTTGTTAAAGAGATTCGCCTTGGAGTCTTCGAAGCAGGACTGTCGATATTTATTGAATATGGAAGCTCCTAAAAAGACAATGAAACTAGTGAAGCGTTATGACGAGAAATCAACGTTTCTATCACGCTTATTATTCAGAAATCTTTCCGTTTTTAAAATTGCCATTAAGTCATTTAAAAATAAATTCTGATTTTACAATAATGCTGTTCGGTATTAAAAAAAAGAAACAACGAAAGAAAACATGATACAAACGCTGGAGAACTTTTAGGAATTTAGCAAAAACTATCTTTTTTTTTTTTTGTTCGTCACTTATTTCTGAAATAACGTTAATTGTTTACCAGCCGAAGGGAATCTATAGCGGCCATTCCAAACATAGACCAATGAAAGAAAAGGTTTTAAAATTCTGATCTGAAAAGGAGATTTAAAAAAAAATATTTTTAATCCAATCCATGAACCCATCAAGATAGGGGCTTGCTGAATTAGGTTGTTGTAATTTCGGACAAGAAGCGGGGTAATCGGTGCATACTCTGATGATATGTAAGATAGATAAAGGTGACCTTAGATTTGAAGAGATTATATGGTTGTAGCGATCGGGGATGTATCCTTTCAGGAACTTCTTCTAAAACGTAACAGTTCTGAGTAAGAAGTTGTTTGAGTAGAACTTTCTCTTTACTAATGCAATATGAATCGAATGAGATTGAGTGAGCGTGGTCTGGTTGGGCTCAGCTCTGAAAGTCTGGAAGAGTAATGTAACACGACTGAACATATACCACGAAAATGAAGAACTGAAAGGATAATGGGGAAGGGGTTGTAGGGCAATCATCCATCGCCCTCAAGGCCGCGTGTTTTTTTTAAAAGTGAGGAATGGGCAACTCCTCTACAGATATAGTAGCAATATTTCATTAGTCTAATAAATAGTTTATAATGAAAATAATCTTACCTTGCTGAAGGCTTCGATTTGGTATCCGTTGGGAGCGTCTTCGTTGATCATATAAAGATCGTAGACAACTGGACCAGTGAATGGAAAGAATGGAGCCTCTTTGTGATGTGAAGCATTTGGGAACTTGAGAATTTGACAGAAACTAAGTCCTGTTACTTGCTTCATGAATTTACCTGTGCAAACCTCGTGTTTTTTCACGTTATCGACAATCATTCTCTGTTTTTTTTCGGAATTTCGATGGACGATGTAAAAATCAGTCCTTGTGAAGGAGAAAAAAAAAGTCCACTTTTAATCAAAATGATTATTGAATTAATAAAAGAAGGCAATTGATATAAGACAAAATGTTGAAAAGAAATGTTTCTTCAAAGAACTTACTTGAGGTTGAAAATTTCCATCTTCTTTTGAGGAATCTGTAAATCAAATTTGTTATTACGAATATCCAGTTTAGCTCCGGTACTTGTGTGCGCAACTGTCACCATCTTTAGACCAGCTCTAGACACATGTGCATCTACAGACATTTCACCTTTCACTTGGATTGAAGCACTGTAAATATCAAGATTACAAATATTATTAGATTGCATTCGATGTCATTCAACGAAAAATTTTGACGAAATCATTATTTTCCAAGTTCCTATTTCGACAAATGTTTTCAAATGTGATAAATGATTTACCTTGGTCTGAAGTCGATATTTAGTTCATATTTTGGTCGTTGCAATGATGCCTTAGCATCAAGAGAAATACTTCCTGTGGTAGAAATAGTGAGGTTGAGAGGAAGACCGACGCAGGTGGGAATAATCATACGGCTATCAAGAAGCGCCATAGTTTTACTGAATGACAACGATTGCATATACATCAGTCTCTTCAGGGAAGACTGCAATTCATTCAGGGATTTATCATCCCAATAACGAAGTTCATTTCCAAACACTCTCAGGTAAGCAGAAGCACGGAATGCATCCATACTTTTATGAAACTGGAAAAGGAAACAAATCAAGAGAAACTGATTGAAATTTGATATCAATGATTCAAAGTACAAGGAAAAAACTACATCAACACATTTCTTAGGATATATTTATAGAGAAAATGAATTATTTTGCATATTTTGCACAAATTTGTTTCTAAGAAAACAAACGACTGGGTCATGTATCCTTGGAGATAAAAGCATTGGCTGAACTAATCCAATGACTTAACCCGAAGAGTTATGAGTTCAATCCCTGGCCACAGCAGATGTGAACAAAAACTTGGAGAGAGAGAGTTACTAAAGGGAAATAACTAAAATTGAGAGATCCAGAAAGAGGCATGGCACGTGGAATGAGAACAATCTACCCTAGTTTTTAATGTAAGATTTTACTATATAAATATATTTTCATGTTTGTAAATTTAAAGAAATTTTTATGAACTATTATTAAACTGCCATAGGCCCCAAATATGGTTCGATGTTTCCGTGGGTTCGATTCTCGCATAAGGTTGGGGATAGTTTTTTTTTTAAATTACTAAATCTAAGTGTACAATTATACTTTGTAGCCGTTAAATAAGGAATTTGGAATGATAGATGCTTTTATAGTTTAGGATGTTTAACTTAAAAGACGTGATATTTTGTGAATAAAACAGAATTAGCAAATATTCATGACATAGCGATGGTGTACTTAAAATACGGTTAGTCTTCTAATTGTTTTAGTGAATGTAAATATTTGATTTATTATTATGATAATCTGCAATAGGATTCCAGATTTCGCTTATGAAGAATCCTATATCTATAATTCTCAAAATGTGTGTGTGTGTGTGTGTGTGTGATCGGATGTTCTTTATGCGTTTCCACAGTTTTCATCCGATTTCAGATGAATTTTTTTGTTTGATAGATAATTCTTCAGTGCCGATTTTGAGACCAAATTTTTGACAACAATGGCTCTCCACTACTTCCTGTTCATTATAACTCTCAGCAACGTTTTACTATCTGTTCTTGGATATATATCTTTCATAAAAACTTTAATAAAAATAAATATTTTAAATCATTACAATAATATTATATATATGTATAATTCTCAGAATGTGTGTCTATGTAGGTGTGCGTGCGTGTGTTTGTGTTTGTGTGTGTGTGTGTGATCGGATGTTGTTTATGCGTTTCCATAGTTTTCATCCGAACGCTTCTGCGCGCGTGGCTGAATATAATGATCAACGGCCGAGGAAAAACGCCTCTTCAACAGCTATTGTGCGTGAGGCTGAACAAGACTGAAAACGAAAAAACAGTTCCCTTTTCAGGGCCACCCTCCATTCAAATTGTTAACCCCCCAAATTGGGGATGTGCCTCAATTGCACCCAAATTTGTTTTTATTATGTTTTAAACTTAAACTGCTCCAAGTGAACGGTAAAAATTCCCAGTATTCAATGAAGGCAAAGACGGGTTATACTCTAGTTTATCAATAAACAAATATTTTATATATATAATATATATATATATATATATATATATATATATATATACTTAAAATTTTGTTTAAAAATCACTTTTTTTACTTTGCTTAACGGTTCTTCTGTCTTCTTGTTCGTTCTTTCTCCGAATTTTTCCTAAAAGATATTTTCCAGAATTTTCTCAACGCCTTGGACTCGACCTCCAAACTCCAGGAAATTGATAGCATGACCAAATAAGTCAATGGTAAGATTCAAGTTGGCCGATCTTGGTATGAAAGATTTCTGTGAAAAGATGACATTGCTATCTACTTTGGCACCCATGTTGATTGAATCAAGGAAAAAGGATCCTTCGTAGTTTCTGGAGAATTTTCTTTGGTCAAGGTTAAATTCTTTCTTGAGTTCTTCGTCTTGGACAATATTACGAATGTCCTGCATGTGTGGGTCCGATGTTTCCATCAGGTTTGTCAGATGAGACCACACAAACGATCCGACTTGATTGGACTTTTCTTTTTCTAACACTTGACGTACTTCAGACAAAACGTTTCGGCTTGGACACTTCATCAGGGCAATGTACGCGTTGAGACGGAGCTCAGAATCCTCAGCTTCATCACGGAAGACTCCCATCAAATCAGATCGCTATACAAATTAATACAAACATACAGAATTATTTATGGACCTGAGTCCTACAAGCATATAAAACAATACAAATGTATTTATAATTATTTTTTTTGTGTAATTTCCATCATACTTCCAGCTTTTAATAATAAAAGAAATTTCAAAAGGAATTATTTTGAGATCCATAGAGATAAATAATCTTAAAATAAACTTTAAGAATTATTTTGGTTTTTCTAAATTCAATAACCTTTATTATATTATTTAAATGTATGAAATGAACGAGAAGCGAAACTGGGGTGAACCTACCATAGCATCACATGGAATTCTTCGGAAGGCGTCCATAGCTGCAATTCTTATTTCCTCACGGACATCTCGTCGAGTGAAACAGCGAGTCAAATGAGACACAGTCTCATGTGAATGACCAATGTTGCCAATTGCTCGAAGAGCAAAGATGATTCTTCTGGCATCACCATTTTGGGTATTGCAATCGTGGGTGTGATCTATCAGTTTTCTGAGGAGAGTAGTGATTTCGGAATCTTTTCCACAGTCAGGTCTTGCATTGCAATAACTGCTTGCCAGAGATGACACAGCGAGTAGGGTATTACCAGAGACACCACGTTCGTCTAACAAAGGCTATAAATAAGTAAAATTGATAGGTATAAGCGATAATAAATGTTGATTTATATGTTTAAATATTTGACTAGAAATCATAATAAAATATGACAATCCTGAAACAAATTATGATCAATAATTTTAATGTTGTTTTGATATATGAATACAAAGTATTGATTAAAATGTTTTTGTGTAAGCATGTGCCTTACCGTAGCGGCTGCAACCATTTCCTTTGTAGGATGATGGACAAATGATAATGACAATAGCCACATTTCAGCTTCGCTGCCGGTGACACGTTTCTTGGAGATGAGGTCTTGGATCATGCCAACTGAAGCTTCAGTTCCTACCATTGGAATGGCATCGTGGAAATATTGCCTGTAAAATAAAATAAAGTAATTTTATTTTGATAAATATTTGGTTAATGAATATGAAATCGACTCATTCAACCCATGAATTTGATGGTTTTATTTTGAATCTTTGCAGATGAGACGATATTTTTGCTACTAATGTGTTACCAATTGAGATTGAAGCTTGAGTTCTGTCGCCTATTTGGACGGGGAGAGAAAAGTCATTTCGTAACCCAACATTTGTTCTAATCTTTGATGAAAATTGGTTGATTCTTAGCAACGTATCAAAGTAAGTAGTAAAACTTAAGTGAAAAACGAAATTCTTACTTGATACGATCAGCATTGGGAGCACAGATGGTCCTTTGGTTGATTTTCTTGTAAACTCTTGAAAGAACATCTCGGTCAACCTGACGCATATGTCCAATCAATTGGTTAACCATTTCTGGAACTTCAGGGCGAATATCTTCGGCTGCTTTCTGGCAGAGTTCCTGCAATTTAGCCTCAATTTTATCCTCTTTATCTTGCTTACTCGGAATGTCATCTTGGTGATGGAACAGCAGCGTGCTTCTTTGGTTAAAGTTTTCTGAAAATGATGACGGCAAGGATTAATCCTGTACGTTGATAGAATTTAGTTTAACACAAGCAAATACATGAATTCCCATGTGATTCCGAAAGAGTATAAAATGTTAGTCAATGCTTTTAACACGTCTTAAATGCCATAAGACAATAAAACCATAATCAAATAATAAACAAACTAACCACGAGATGGACGTCCAGCCCTTCTTTTTGTTGGTGAAGGTCAAAGTTTGTTCACTGCTGGTCATGGCACCGTTCTTTCCATAAGAGAATGGTCTGAAAACGTGTTCTTCTGAACATGTTGAACTTTGCAGGATGTTAGAGCCGAGATCCAGTGTCTGGGTACATTTATATTCACTCTTCATCAGTGGGAGAGATTTGACAAACTGGAAATGAAATAACAAATATGATAAATCCATTATTCTGATAACTGGCAAAATAAAATGGAATTTATTAGAAAAAAAATCACGGTAGGTAAGAAAATACTCACTGAAGGTACATTGTATCCGATAGATTGGACAGCCAGGCGGTAACCTTCACGGTCACTGCAGCTGAGTAGATTTTTCGTCTTCTTTACAAGCATTATTCTTCGACCTTCATCTAATATTTTGTATTCAGAATCACAAGAACCAACAACATCAGTCTGAAATAAAGTCACAGCAGTTTATTAGGACGGACGTCACTTGAAGTTGTCATTTTATAAATTCTTTTTTATAATAAAAATGATTTTTAAACTGATTGAGACGAACCTCAGTGAGATTTTGGCCACGATCGAAGTTGTCCATTGAATTTTGGAAAGCGGAGAGGATGCCTCTTTTGATGTTCAGAGTCCATATTGATTCTCCTTCCGTTGAACAGATGTGATCAATTCGGCCATCTTGGAATGAGAACTTCAAGGCGTGCTTCATCATGGCTTCCTTGAAAGCCTGAGAATTCTGTTGGTCTTCAGAATCTCGAAGAGAAGCGTCCTTTATCTGGAAGGAAACATCAATACTTCAAAGATTATACGGTAATAAATCAAACATTTAATAGCTTCAATTTATCGAATCCAGTCAATAAGAAATGAAGATCATTGTTACGATAACATTGACGAAATACATGGCCATGTACAGAGTTATTTCAATCGTGAGAATAACCTGGAGAAGAAAAAAGGGCAAAAGAACTGGAGGCAACTGAAGAAGAGAAAGAGAGTTTTTCATAGAAGAGAAAGAAAACTAATTTGGGAGGAAGGAAAATATTAAAGAACTACTAACTAAAAGTTTGTAGATTATTATAGCAAATTCTATTAAATTTAATTTCACTCACAAGTATTAGAGACACAGATATCAAAAGACGACGATAGAATTTCCCAGTGTTGTGCGTGTTTCATATGTAATTAAGCCTTTGTTGGTATTTCAACTGATATATGCTTGCATTCTCCTCAAGAATAATGTGCAATTAACGAAAATGACATGGAATTCATTGATTTTTTTCTTATTGATAAGGTGTACTTTGTCCGAAAGCGGAACTTCTTTATATAAATATTTTGCAATTTTTTAACTTACCCTCATGACAAGGTCGCATTTGGTGATCGGTTCAATCTCAACATTGGCATTCATGTTGATAATGGCAGAGTCTTCGGAGGCACCGTTCATTTTTGTTGTTGTTTTGGCATCGTAAGAGAATTCGTAGACGATTCCTGGTTGGTAATCGAATTTCTTGGTGTCTGAAAATATTAAAGATTTTAAAGATTTTAATCTACTACATTGCATAAATCACTTGAAAACTTTTCTCGTAATTTGATTAGAAAAAGAGAAATTTCTGTAAACCTTGACATTCTATACAACGGATCCGAAAACGCTATTCCAAGAGGGAATCAAATTCTTTACTCCTTTTTTTTTCCTAAATATTAATTTTAAACATATCTTCAAATCATGAAGCGTCCTTAAATGTTTTTTGTTTTTAAATAGTTGCATCACGAGCCGAAGAATAAACTGCAATGTTTGTAGGACATTCTTAAAATAGCTGTGTTTCTGGTTAACTTTATTATTCAATGTTTAGGCGAAATAATTTCCAAGTACCGAATCGATTGTTGATAAAATGTTAATATACAAAAGAATTGAGTGTTCTTGATTATATTCGTGGCATAGCTACAATTGAAGAATATATGGTGCGAATAAAAATCACGAACAATGGCTTGCAAGAGCTGCACGCAAAACAAAGTATTATTAATATTATTCTTTAATTCATGGATCAAATTTGATCCAAATGTTGGTTAAAATTTCTTTTACTGTGAGAAGAGGAAAGGACTTTATGTCGACCTTTTTTTCCTTTCAGTCAGAAATGAAGGGGAATAAATTTTGGCCCGGCGTCGTGAAAAGGCGGGACTTTACAAGAAAAACACTTTTGATAAAACAACTCGGGATCATGAAAATTGAATGACCAAAACGGAAAATAACGGATTGGAAAGAGGCTTTCTTTTATATAATATTTAACAACATTGCTTTTTTGATATATGATTACTGATATGTTCTAAATCAAATTTTGTCTGACTCCAAAAAAAAAAAAATGCAGAAGTTCCTTTTACTTTATTAAAGCGAAGACTACAGCCATTTTTGAAAGTAGCATTCGAAAACCTTGAGTTTAGCTCGATTCACAAATAGGATTGACTGGAAATATAATTATATTAGTCAAGAGGGAGCTATATCTTCAAAATATTATTTCCTACTACTCTCTCTCTCTCTCTCTCTCTCACACACACACACACACACACACACACACATACACACACACACACATATATATATATATATATATATATATATATATATATATATATATATATATAAAATGAAAGTCCAATTTGAATAAGTAAATGTTCTGTTTTTTTAATTAAACAGTATTAAATACATTTAATCGAACATTCAGGCTGGTAAATGTATTTAATATTGTTTAATTAAAAAAGAACAAAAAATTAAGCATTTCTTAAATAAATTGAATGTATTAAAATAACTTAAAAATATAAATATATATAAAAAATAATTGTCGGACTTCGTTTATTTCATTGTACATTGTCATATGTTTATGTTTACGTCGGGGATTGTGTTTGGACTTTGCTCACCAGACGCTTCTCTATAGCTAAGTTGTATATCACGTCAGATCAAATGGCAGTTCCGTGTAGGACACAGGTTCGATTCCTCTTAGAAAATGCATATTTTCTACGAAATTTCTCGAATATTCAGGCGGGTAATTGTATTTTATACTATTTGATTAAAAAATCAGAGCATTTACTTAAATAAATTGTTTATTAAAATAACGTATCAACAGAATATATATATATATATATATATATATATATATATATATATATATATATAAAGAGAGAGAGAAAAGTGGGGAAAAGTTTACTAAATTTATTCCGATGAAGTCCCTGAAAGCGAAACACGTGACAAGTAAACTTTTTTCCAATTTGTCATACAATTTCCCCAATACTGTTCTTGATATCTCGTATTCGCACGCACAGACATACACACACACGCGCGCGCACACACACACACACACACACACACATATATATATATATATATATATATATATATATATATATATATATGCAGCATATTTTCATTCAAGCATATTTGGTTGTTATGTCTATTTATTTTAGTTTTGATCCTTTCAAGTCCACGAATTAATTTCTTAGTGGCTGTAGAAAATTGATTAAGAAAAATTCTAAAATTTTCTTTCAAATAATTTTTATTTTCCCAAGTATTTTCAATCTCATCTAAGACTATCTTCAGGGACTGCATATCTATGGATGTGTTAAATTGAAAATATTTTTGACCTCTATGCAAGCGAGGTAACTCATGTGATTTTTTAAAAAGATTATTTAATTGTATTATTTGAATTTAGTATTTTTTATAACACTTTCCTGCTACGAACATTTAAGAATTTTGTTGCTATACTTGTAGTTGATTTTATTTATTTCTGGTCCCAATTCTCTTATATAAAGAGCTTCAAGAATTTTAAGTTTCTGTTTATTATTATCTTGATGAAGCACCGATGTATTTTTACTTATACCTGTCTAAACTGTAAATATGGACATGGGGGTGCCTTTAAATGTACTGAGATTGAACTATGATCATTCAAATGAAAAGTAAGCCTTCTCGTTATCGTCGTTGTTGCAAAACCAACATACATATTAACATTTTTGTCAGAGATGCAATCTCTCAAAAGACATTTAAATTGATACAGGATGTTGGTCTTTTGTAAGACATTAGTTGACGAAGAACAGTTGTTATGGATGACTAGGTTGGTTGTATTAAATTTAATATAGTATATAATTCATTTGATTTTTTTACTTGGATGAGTGGGGGATATATTAGTGTTTATGTGTCTTTTTAAAATTTTTCCCTCCTGTTTATAGTTAGAATGCATTTGATTACCGTATA